TGTTTTTGTTTGTCCCCGTTTTTTTTTTTTTTTTTTCCGGTTCTCCTTTTTATTTTATATTTAGTCGTCGCGTTTCGTCTTTATCAGCCGCGCGCGCTCATCGGGTACCGCGAAATCACGTAAAATGCGAAAAACGAGAGGAATTAATATTTTTGTACGTACAACAGATGAAAATCAAAACGAACCAGTCGGACGAACCGGTACGCGAAAACGCCGCGCGGTACGGGTGCGCGCTCCAGACGTGACCGTTGTGTGTCGTTGCGGTGCGTGGTGCGCGCGCGTCGCGCGATCGAACTGTACTGTTGCCCGGTCGACGGCGGCGGCAACGGTGTCCGGCAACGGTCTCTCCCCCGGTAGAGAGGAACCGGTCGTGTCGTTGCTGCGACGACACCGAACTTCAATGCACCGGCGGCATCCGTCGTCGTTCCAGCGAGTACATCCTAGCGCGACGTTCCCGCGGCGACAGTTTTTTTTACCAACAACAATTCATCAAGCTAATTTGCCGAAAGTCGAGTTCGATAAAAGCGAATAAAAAATAAACAATAATTATATTAATTCCATTCACGATGAAACTGAAACCGTTGTGAACCTGGCACTGTACTCTCACCCCCTGCGTCTTCGGATCTTTAACCCTCTCTCCGACCGACCACGCTTGTTGCGCACTGATCTCGACCATGTTAACATTGTTAAATAATGTTGAACACAGGATTTGTCCGCTACACGAATTATTGTATTTCCGTCGCGGACAAACATGCGATATAATAATTATTCTTATCTTTCTGCATACGATTTTCGGTGGGACGTGATTTTTCATTGCGTTTGGTTATCACCGGACATTCGACCTGTGGTAAATATATTCATGGCGGTTCGATAAAGAAATATTGTCCGACTATGATGGGTGTACCGCGTGGACGACAGCTTAATTAATTTCAACCAGAGGGTAGAATCCATTTGAAAATGTTTAAAAATGTTGGAACCGAGACCTTAACCAGAACCCACGAAAACGAATATGAAGCAACCGAAACCAAAATTGACGTTTTAATTTTAAGTTGAGTAATAAATAAGGATTAATGACAAAAAAGTAAAAAAAAAAAAACAACTTTTCAAAATAAAATTATGTATTAATGTTTATACAGTATTTTTAAATATATTGTAGAGTTATAAAAATGAAACTATTTTATTTTTATCGATAAAATTATGTATCATTTAATACTTCAATGTTTGGTGAGGTTGTAACAACAATAACCTAACCGGATATTGGATTTTAGTGAATTTCTAAATATATATACTTAATATTTTTAAAAAAAATTCTTTAGTAATCAGAGACTGTACATAATAATCGATTATTAATTACCATAGATATATAATAATTTTTTTGGGTGGTTTATGTGCTTCTGAGCGCCATATAATGAACCATTTCCGCTAATACCATTGGAAATTAAATAATATGAAATAAAAATAAGAGAACAAGACATTTCCTACCAAAATGGCTTCAAGTTTGTTTTGGAAAATATCTGGATTCATGAATCATTTTCATGAACCTATGCCCTCACAGCAAAATTAAAAGAACTTCGGTAAAAAATCAGATTGATGTATTCGTAGAAAACAGAGAGTTGCCACTAGATAAATTTGAAATATCATATATGTATCTCATGATAATGTTACATTACGTCATACCATATTATAGAAGTTATTCCGTTTAACACATCATAGAAAAATTAAACATAATTCTACGTATACATTGTAGTTATTATAGACATTATTGTTACTCGTGTTCATGGTCGGACACCGATAATTATCAAAGTCGTGTTTTTTTTACCGTTTTCTTCACAAACAGATCCCCAATTATTTATTATTATGAAAAATATAATTAAGACCCTCCGGCTTTTGTATTTCTTTTAATAAGTGACTGTTTTAAAATAAATGTCAAATAGCTGAAACTAGTTATGCAATTAAGAAGTGCGAAGACTGAATATATCCATAAACTAAGGTCTCCTAAAAAAAAAAAAATGACTGAATTTTTTTTTGTTTTTGAAAAGGTAAAAAATGGATGTAAAGAATGAGGAATGTATTATCTGCTAACGATGTCTATGTCTCGGATATTTCCATGAAATCTTACATTTTTTTACCACCTAAAATATCTATATGGAGAATATGAGGCACTATACTGGCTTAATTTTCGTGGGTAGTAATATAATTGCTTTTTAAGATTATTATTTTTAACATTTATTATTATTTATTATTGTTTATTATTATGTTGACGTAAAGCGTAGCTATGTGTACTGAAAATGTCGATTTCTAATGATAAAATAAGTTTGTACGATACCCGACCACCGGATTGACGAGAAATGACGTTAAATGTCCATTATAGCTATTCGCTCATTTCTAATGACGAAATGTTTACTATTTTCATCGTCATAGTTATAGAGCTATTACTTGCCACAAACACGAAGATAATATTATTATTATTTTAAGTACGTTTTAATGTTATTTTTTAATTCAATGTCAATAGTACGAAACTGTCACATTGTACATTCTGGGTACGCTAAAATAATTATTTCGTACCTCGCCAAGATCATTTGAATTTCGTATTTTTTAAATAAATACGATATTAGAAGTATTGTATGTAAGAATGATATTGATTATAATTACATTATTTTAAATAGTTTAGAGAAAAAATAATAGTATTAAAATAATCATTATAGTCTACTATACGTGAAATATTTTTGGCTTCGGTGTCTAAGAGTTTTTCTATGCTTTTGTTTACATTATATTTACAATTATTTTGGACTATTTTATAATAATTTTTGTAACCCATATGATTACATACGTCAACCTTTTGTTATTTTAATTTTAAATATAATAGAAATTATCATTTTTGTAAATAAACTATATGGAAATTTCAATGACAACTACATGTGATTTTAAATCATAATTAAATTTTTTCGTTCCGATGAGTCTGCAAAAAACTATTCTTTAATTGATGCACGCAACACTGCGTTATGCGCATATAAAAAAGTATAATACACACATTGTAAGGGTTAAAATGTACACTTCAAAAAAATTACTCTAAAATCTTAGATCAAAGTATTGTAAATGACATATCTAAAAATAGTGAAAATAGACTCCAAACTATAACAGTTTAAACTATATCAGTAAAAGATTCATATGATGATGTAATATTAACATTCAAAGAATCAGTTGTTTTAAACATTTCAAAAGTAAAACCAATTAGTAGAGCGTTAACGGTTTGAACATCTATGTTGTTGAAATGTTTATTGTTACCTAATCATTTTGATATTTTTTCATATATATTTCAGCTCTCAAGGTATTACCAATGTACAGTGGCTACCAAAAAATTTTTCATGTATTTTTTTTATTATTTATCACTAGGCTTAGGGACTTATAGTTCTAAAAAATACACAAATATGCATGCAAATATGCTTATAAAATTATTAAAATATGCATTAAAAAAAAAAAAAAAATGACCACATAGTACACAAAATAAAACGTGTTCATCGGATGTAAATGTATGTTTCAACTCCGAAACAAAACTTTGTAGTCGGCTACTCGCAGACTGTTGTACTTTCGGCATTACACAATACTATAAAATATACGCGTACGGCGTTTTACGTATGATTCGACGTTGTGTGGTTGCAAGATGCAAAAACAACGAAGAATAATAACAATGCAACTAAACATTGCGCCCGGGGCGAAACTTCAAAAGGCGCCCTTACGTATTTTCAATTTGAAAATATTACACTTATTAGATATTATTTTCGATGATTGTTTTGATTATAATATGAAGGCTGTTAAAGATTTTGTAAACAAAATATAAGACATTGACCGTTGTAATTTTTAACATTAAACGCAAGATTTTCATTTTTGCGTTCTCCCAGTAATTGCGCGGGGCGTGGGCACCTCTCGCCACCCCTAGCTACGGCCCTGGATAACAATCAACTGAACTGGACACTAAACAAATAATCTATTATTCTATATCAACTATTATCTTTATCGACATCCGGTCGATATCTAGCGGGTTATATGGTCGATACAGGTTTATAGTATTATTTATACTTACACGAAAATTATAACGAGATATGAGAGGTAGTTTGCAGATAGCATATAACTGGAAGTATTAAGTCCTCTTAATGTATTTTCTTTCGATAGGTTGAAATATGTATCCATAGTTTTTAATTTTAAATTTGGAAAATTTTTCAAAATATGCAAAATAAGTATAAACATTTTAAAATATGCACTCTCCTGCAAAATCTATCAAATATGCAAAAATATGCACATTCAAATTTTAGATCTGATATCATGGTTTCGAGAAACGAATTTATTTCGCACTCTGCTATATTTAACAATAATTAAAAAAAGTATGCAAATGCTGGAAGTGCCGAAGCCTATTTATCACAATCAAATATACATTTATAATTATTTATTCATTTATTTATGTATAATGAACAGGTAATAAGTATGAGTAAAAAAAAATAAGTTTTATTATTTAAGTAATTTATAATTACATTAATAAACGACTAATATATGCAATACACAAATAATATGTAGGTAATACACATAGATATTTACAAAAAAAGATAATACAGAGTTCAATTCTACTTTAAAAAACTTTGTATATTGATGGTCAAAAAAGTGAAAGGTGAGTTACTTTTTTCAGTCTATGATTGTTTAGAACAGGGGTCTCTGTATTATTTGGGTATTATTATTATTATTATAATTATTACTATTATCATTATTATTATTATTATTATAATTATTACTATTGTTATTATTATTATTATTTATAATTTTATATATTATTTATATCTGACCAGCAAATAAGTTTTAACCAATTCCCCTACCTAAAAAAAAAAAAAAAAACGGTGAATAATCTAAAAATATGTAAAATATTCAATGTATTTTTAAAATATTTATGAA